AGAACGATCACTCACTTCTCAAGTTCTGGCCTGGTGTGCAATGATTCTTGTTGTCGCAATCGCACAAACTTCGTGCAAGGATGTTGATGGCAGAGATAGTTCATCCCACTCAGTGGTGCTTGCCGAGGCTGAATTTGAAACGCATCCGACAGGCTCGCATAAAAATTCCATAGTCGTCCATATTTACGCCCATGATATTAAGGTCAGTACACACTCAAAATATTTACCATATAACGTGGACAAAAGAAAGCATTATTTTTATCTGTGTAACTTCATATTTTAGTATAAGGTAGTAAGAATGCATATACATTAACTGCATGGGATGTATATATCCTAGCTAGTTTTTAGTGCACCCTCTTATATTACTTCACAATAGTCGACAAATATTTTGTAAGCCATAAAATTGGTATAGAATAGAATTTGACTCGAAATAATGTAAGAAATTACATAACTTATGGCCAAAAACCAACACAGTAACGCACAAATACAACAAATACAACAATAATAAAAATAAAAAATTAAAAAGATGTTTAACAATTAGCATACATTTCTAAGATTTTATGTATATAGACTCCTAGACTGCTGGCAATGAAACTATCTTTTGAATTCATCAGTTTCTTAAACATGATCTGCTTAGGCAAACTTTGAAATTCTTTGTGCATTGAGATTACACTCATAAATTTGCACCTAGCAGATTCAATCTCTGGATTCCTGCAATCTAAGAAAGCATGCATCTCATTGCCAACAGCTAGATCATCACATAGCATGCATAACCTTTCCTCTGGTGGTACTTGTAAATACCTTAATTTCTCTATTGGTAGTTTATGTGCAGAGATTCTGAATTTAGTGATGGCAACTCTGTGTTTGACATTATTTACATATTCCAAATATGGTTCCAAAGAGTATTCAGATTTGAAATTGTTATATGTACGTAGCTTGTTATTTTCTTTTTTGTGTAAGGTAGGAGACCACAAATCTTTTATAAATTTTTGCTTTAATTTATTTTCAAAACTGTCAGCATCATGGCCAATCTCATTGGTTTTAGTATTTTCTTGTAGTTTACGTACAAAATTAGTCCATGTGTTGCCTGTACTTTTGCTTTCATTGTTGTAGGCAGAATGCACTAACACATTACATTCATCTTTTACAATTCTGTCATGATACCTAATCATCTGTCTGCAAATATCAATGATAATGGGGTAGCTTCCAAGTTCAGCTCTTGTCGCAATGTTGCTAGATTTTTTGTGAACTCCAAGTATGGTTTTACAAAATTTAATGTGTAGTTGTTCAAAACAAGTTTTATCATCAAATAATTTTTGAATGAATTTTTCGCTTGTAATTTCAACATTGGCTCTGTGCAATTTGAATGTGAAAGCTCCCCAGATTTCAGATCCATACATTAACATAGGCAGAACAGATCTCTTAAACATGTGTATAGCATTACTCAATGATAAATAATGGTTATGTAAATTAAGTGTTTGTTTAAGAATCCCTATTGCTCGTTGTGCCTTCATCACTAAATTTTCAATTGCCAGTTTGAAATTGCCACTACTTTGAAAGACAATTCCAAGGTAATTGTATGAATTAACAATTTGTATTTGGTTGTTCCCTAAATAAAAATCACCGTCAATAAATTTTCCCTGCTTATTAAATATAATGACCTGTGTCTTTTTTGTATTTACTTGTAACTTCCACTTGTTACAGTAATTATTAAGACTATCTAGACTATTTTGAAGCCCATTATTAGAATTTGACACTATCACAATATCGTCAGCAAATAATAAACAGTTAAATAAATTATTCTCTAAGCTAACTGGATTAGAAAGGATACTATCAGAAAGATCATTGATAAAAATGTTGAATAAAAGAGGACTTAAATTGCACCCTTGTTTCACTCCACAAGATGATGAGAATGAATTGGTGCAACCATGAGCAGTTTTGATAGCATATTTGGTTACTGAATACATGGATTTTATCAAGTTGAACACTTTTCCTGTAACTCCAGCCTTTAGTAATTTGTATAGCATGCCTTCTCGCCAGACACTATCAAAAGCTTTGCGCAGATCTACAAAGCAAGCATATAGATGAGATTTACCTGCTTTGTTGACATATTTATTTATCAGTGATTTTAAAATGAAAATACTATCTCTGGTACGATGATGTTTTTGAAAACCAAATTGTGTATTTTTCATATAATTTTGATTATCCAAAAATAGTTGTAATCTGTTATTAATTATAATATTCAGAACTTTTGATATAGAGTTTGAAAGTGCAATGCCTCTATAATTGTTGACATCTGTGATGTTTCCACTTTTATGTAATGGAACAAGGTAGCTGGTATTCCATTCAGTTGGAAACACGCCATTTGATAAAATTTGGTTGAAAAGTCTCTTCAAGCAGGTTATTAATAAAGGGTTTGAAAACTTAAGCATCTCATTGATGATGGCATCAGGCCCTGGTGATTTCCCAGTTTTGATTTTCTTAAGAGCACTATTTATTTCTTGCTCACTGATGTCCTTATCAAGATCAGGATTAATAATTGAAGTATTATTATGCTTCTTGATTGTTTCTTTTACCTCTTGATTAGTAGTTGAATTGTGATTAATAGCATCTGAATTTATATTGAAAAGGGCAGAGAAATGTTTAATCCATTCTGTTGAGGAGACTGATGGTGTTTGTTGTTTATTGGAATTATTAAATTCTTTAATTTCATTAATTGCATTCCAGAAACATGTTGGATTATTGCCTTTTAAATTCATTAAATTGTTCAATAGTTTTTCTTTAAAAGAATTTTTCTTTTGCTTAATAACCATTCTGTATTGTTTATTTATCCTTTGGCGCTGCATTCTAAGAATGGGGTCAAATGGAAATTTGCTTACTTTCTTTGAAGTTTCCTTTAGGTATCTTCTAATGAACCCCAAATCATTATCAAACCATTTTTGTTTTGATTTTGTTTTGATTTTTTTAGTTGTATTTGATTTTCTATATTTGATTGTAATGGATTTTAGCGCCCTATCAGCTGCAAAATATATTATGTTATTAAATGATTTCACCATGTTCTGAATGTCATTGTTCTCCACACAATTTATCGCCAAAAAGTTTTTCATTTTTCTGTTTAACTCAGCAGAACTTAGTTTGTGACATAAAATTAGATTTTGATGAGCTATCCCAAATATATTTTTTGTATGGGATCATTGAGATGTCTGAACTCTGATCATAATTATAATTAACATTAATGGCTAAAGACAAAGCACAATGATCTGATAAATGGGTTAAATTATTAACTTTAAAATATTTAACTTGAGAATAAAATTCTTTTTGTACAATCAAATAATCAACCTGGCTGACACCATTATATTGATAACATGTCACTTTTCCATTCAGATCACCTACTACTCTACCATTAGCAATTACCATGTCTGTAGTAAGACACAGATTACATAAATATTGACCGTATTTATTACTCATGATATCCATTGATTGTCTTTTAACACTATTCAGCAGAATGTATGGAACTTGAATCTCTGATGTTCCTTTCTCATCTCCTAGAGTATCAACTTGTCCTGCAGTTCTAGAATTTAAGTCTCCAAGGATGAATATGTTTCCTTGATTTGCAAAATGCAGAGATTCTTCAGTGATAATATCAAACATATCTTCACCTGAGATGTCATTGTTTTTATAATAGGTTGACCCAACTGGTGGGACATATAGACTACATAAAAAGAGATTCCTGTTTAAACCAAAGAAATCTTTATCCATTTTCACCCATATGGCTTCTTTACATTTACTTTTAATTTTTGTTAGGCCTTTACTTAATATAGACTTGAACATAACAATTATACCACCAGAGGATTTTCTAGCATTAACACATTTTTTTTCTGTCTAATCTAAAGTACAAATAGCCCTCTGGCACACTAACTCTCTGACTACTATCTAACCAGGTCTCTAAAAAACAAACTATATCATGTTTTTTAACAAACTCAATGAAATCACTATCATCTATACTAGAATTTAAGCCATGAATATTCCAAGAAGCAATTTTTAGTTGCTGCTTGAATCTGTTCATCGTTTAACCCCATGGAAAGTAAGGTCGGGCAGGAAGATAATTAGGTACAGCAGGCATCCAAGGCATAGGTGTGGGCACTGCTGAGAATGGTGGTGGTGAATGCATTCTCTGTTGATACCAGTTTGGCGTTGTCATATGATACATTGATGAATTCTCAGCCAGTGACATGGTTGTTGTTGCTGCTATCCCTGTTGTCATT